GCCAGTAACTCCCCTCTGCAGGACAGGCCACCCTGGTGGCCACAGCCTGGGTATTGTGCAAGCGAGCACAGGGCAGGTTCATTGTGGACTCAGCATAGCCCCGGAGCCCTCAGTGGATTTTTCAGGCTTTAATGCTCTCTCAGGGAACCAGGTGCACAGGCAGGGAGGCAGGCACGAGTGGCGGGGGGCTGGGAGGCAGGCAGGCAACCGAGCCCCCTAGCCCCCCACAAATCTTTACTCTTTCTCTGGGCGCTCTCCAGCATTCTCTCATGGTCCCGCCGCCTCTGTAGTCACTCGTGCTCACGTAGCCGCCCCCTATCTCTGAGGGACACCATCCTTACAGCCCCCGCCTCCGGGCTCAGGTGTGCACACTCACAGCCCCACACCCACCATCAGGCCTGCGTGCCCCGCGCCCTCGCTCCCAAGCTCCTCCTGCGTCACCACAACCAAGGCCACAGGTGATGGCCACAGAGGCCAGTGGCACAAAAAGCCTGATTACCTCACTTACCCTGCACGGGAAGTGGTGGGGGGAGGCTGGGGCTTTCCCCATTGGCTCTTCTGGCAAAAGAAGAAAGGTGGGTGGCGTGAGGCCAGCCCTGGCGGCCACTTTTCTCTTCTGACTGCTCAGGAGCCTGACTAGTGATGCTTTGAAGGCCATGGGGATGCGTCTTGATATAAAATGTCCCTGAGACCTCCACGTTCGGGGCTGTGTCATCCCCGGGGGGGGGCAGGGAGGGTGTTGACAGGATCCACCGACCTGACACCCTTACTGGATGTGAGCCCCGGTGCCCGGGGCATCCCTGGCATGGACTGTAATTTTCACCTGATCTCAGCTGTCTGCTCGGGGTTCAGGGTCTGTACCCCAATAAGGACTGGCCCAGCACTCCTGGCCTACCGAGGAGTCGATGTGCTGGAGAGCAGGGAGCAGGCCGCTGGCTCACTGTGGGCAGGCCGGTGGCCACCTTGCAGATTGGGGGGCCCAGCAGGCCCTTCCAGAGTAGGGTTCCGCTCCTGGGCCCTCCCCACAACCCTTGGGGGCTTGGAGACCCCCATCTACCCCAACCTCTAATATGACTTAAACCGCGTGTGACTTTTTTCTCGTAAGTTGCCTCCTGTCACTTCCCCTGTTGGTCCCCTGGATTTCAGGCGCCTGACGGGGGCTGCATTTCCCCAGCACACTGTCCTCACGCCCAGAATAGTGGTCGGCAGGGGGGCGGGGGGCAGGGGGCGAGCGATGCCCCGGGTGAGGCCGTGAGTTACACAGACTGGGGCGACTGGCTTCCGGGGGCTGTGACTACAGATAGTAAAAGAGAAGTCACTGACCCCCTCATCAGCTGCTGAGGCCCCAAGCTTCTTGTGTCAGCGCTTCAGGCCTCACCCTCTCCCCCGCCGGCTGCTGTCTCAGCTCTGGGGCACGACTCAGAGCAGGATGCGGGTGGGGGTGCACGAGACCCGCTATCACGTGGGCTCACCGATGGGGCCTGCGAGGGCCCGAGAGAGGGCACTAGTCATGGCGACGTCAGGGGGCGCTCGCTGCTCTGTGCACCCCCCACTCTGCTGGGCTGGTGGCCGTGGCCGCCAGGCACCGCCGTGGCCTTCCCCGTGCGCGTTCCGCCCGGCAAATCGTGCTCCTGGCCGCGTGTCGCTCACAGCCTGTCATCCTCGTTTCATCTTGATTTATTATCAGGCCTAATGAGTTTTTGGAGCAGCTCTCTCCCAGGGACGGGCGATCAATCTAGGAGGTGGCTGGTGAACTCTGCTCCTCTAGCACCGGGAAGGAGGGCACAGGGGGGTGGTCGCGGACGGGGGTGAGCTAGTCCTCCTGCCTCGAGAGCCAGGGCCCCTCAAGGTCACGCCGCCTGCCTCCTGCTTCCTTCCCCTCCCTCCTTGCTCTGTCCTTCTGCTGCATCGCTGTGTTTAGGGGTCACTGGTTTCTTCAGAACTTGCTGACTCGGAGGCCACTCTCCCTGCCTTCTCCACTCCAGAAGTCCTAGCCCAGGGCCCCGGGTGGTTGGGCGGACCCAAAGCCCCCATCTGTGCCTCAGGTTGGCCGGGGTTCATCCTCAGGGATCGCCCTCACCCGCACCCCCAGCCCAGGCTGCACCCCTCCAGGCAGACACGTCTCGTGCCCCCTCAGGAGAGCGCCCCAGCTCAGAGGCTGCACTCTACCCTGCTGCTTTGAAACACTCCGCGACACCACACCAGCTGACTGGAGCTCAGGGCTGAGAGCAGAGGGCAGCCCTCTGCAGGCCTGGCATGAGTGGGCCCTCTGGCAGGGAGCCCAGGGCGGAGGAGCCACCCCTGGCCATGAAGGCAGGCGGGGCAGCCCCTGCCGCCACCCTCCAGCCGTGCAAGTGGCACAGCTGTGCGTGCAGGGTAGAGCTGATGGGAGTGGGGCTCGGCCCCCAAATCAGCCTGTCCTTCACGAGCCTGTTAGGGAACTACGCCCCCATGGGCAGCCACTTTGAACTTGCCTGGACTCGCCTCCCGGATGCCTCTGGCATCCTCTTTCCTGGTCAGCAGCAAACCTGCAGCCCTTAGGATGGATTTGGATTTGGAAGTACCCTTGTTTTTGGAAATGGATGTGTTTGATTAAGAGAATGAGATGGGTGACTAATCTAGAACAAGAAGGATAAATTAATTATAGCTAGAAAACTAATTTTTTTAATCACCCATAGCCATGGCTTTGCGACCATTCTAAAAGTTCTAGAAAATGTCAGACGTTGCCAGAGGCAACAACTGGAACTGTTAGTAGATGTCCGTGGGGGCAGGGATGCACACACGGGCGTGTACTTTAAAAAATCAGCTGTTTTTGCTTATTCACAATAAGGGAAGCCTCCAGATGGCTTGTCTTGAAGTCAAAAAGCCAGTTTCCACCTGCATTTCTTCTGGAAATTGAGGTCTGAGGAGGAAGATGAGCAGAGAAGCACCAGCCCAAATCTGGGGCTGGAGAGGGCAGTGGCAAGGGGGTGCTCACTGCAGACAACCAGCTTCCACCTGCCCTCTAGGGCTCGCCAGCCCTGGGGCCTGAGGCCGAGACAGACCAGGAGCCTCCACGCGCCTCTGCGTTGTGCCAGTCCTGGCCCAGGTTGGGAACAGTGCCAGGTCACAAGGTGACACCCCGAGATGATAGCGGCACAGCAGGGTTTGAAGCCTTAAGCAGCTGCCCCCATCCCCTGCCCTGACCCTGTGCCCGACCTGACGTGGCAGGACTGTCAGCTGCACTGTCTGGAACACTAATCACCAGGCACCCCAGGGCCCCTGCTCCGCCAGCTGTAGCCACCCTGGCTGATTGTTCCGCTCTGCTGCTCAGTAACCCTTTCGGCCCAGGGCTAACTCCCTGGCGCAAGGACTCCCCTCTGGCCCTCCGAGGCTCTACCGAGCCCCCTCCCACACATCCTGCCCTGCAGGCTCCCTGCAGGCGCCTCTTCTGCACAGGTCTCTGCCCTGCACACCCCTCCGGACTGCAGAGCTCCCCGGCTATGACCTAAGGGGTGGGAGGCCCACGGGTGCCCTGTCAACTCCCATCTTCACCCCCTGGAGGGTTAAGCCGGAGGCAGCTCCCGGCTGAGACCTCCAGGGAGGAGCTGGGTCACCCTGTTCCCCTTGGCTGACCAGAGCCGGAAAGATTTGCGATGTCCCTGGAGCGGCCCTGGAGCCAGGGACTGGAGCGTCAGAAACAAATCATCTTCTCTAGTGCAATCTTCACAGCTGTCCCCTCGACCTGGCCCGGCCGCAGCGCTGATTAAAGTAGTGGGCGACATTCCCATCCATCCCGCTCCCAGGGCGCTGTGGGGAGACACTGTGAGTCCCAGGACAGAGGCCTCTTCCTTCCAGGGAGCAGGGAGTGCGTCATGGCCTCAGGGGGCATTGGGGAGACCCAGCCTCCCGTGCAGGTGGGTGGGTTCTCCCGGGAGGAGCCCTGAGCCTCCGGCATGGGCAGCGGCCTCTTCCGGCCCACAGGTCCCGCACACTGGTGGGCTGCTGGCCGGGAACAGTCCCGTGTCACGTGGCTCTTACCTGAACGGTGGGGCGCAGGCTAGAGGGGCTGTCGGTCTGGTTTGAACCGAAACGACAGGCGGGGGGACTCCAGCGACGGGACCCTGGCAGTCTTGTGTGTTGAGTGGCTAATAGTGGGAGTTCTAGTCATCAAATAGACTCGGGAAGCTATAGGGATGGGGACAGTCAGCCCGGTCTGTCATCTGCAGATGAGGAACCAGGGGTGAAGGACCCGCACCCGCCTCTTGGGTGCACACCCCATGTAGGCACCCTGCTCAGCCCCGCCCCAGGTGCAGCCCAGGCCGGCCGGGAGCCCTGTTTGCGCTGAACAGCCCTTCCCTGCCCCTTAGCTGCCCTGCCAGGCCCGGGAGGACAGAGCCAAGGCCCAGCCTCTCCCGCTGGCCTTCCCTCGAGTGACTCCGGGCACCGTCCTGCCTGGTGTGGGCCCCTGAGCTCCCACCTGCCAGGGGCTGCCCGTACCCTGCCCGCCCCTCCGGTGTCTCCAGCAGATGCTGTTGGCTCAGGAGGACGCTCCTCCCCAGTGCTCCTTGCCCCTGTCCCCCCCAAGGCCCCCGTTCCCTCAAGCCAGCTCCTTCAAACCAAGGGAGGAATCCTGCTGGGAAGCGGGCAGAGCCACAGCCACCCAAGGGGGCCCCTGGGCTGACGGGAGCTGGGCAGTGACCGGCCCGGCACTCTGAGAACATGGTGCTCCCTGCGCTCTGAGAACATGGTGCAGGGTCGCCGCGCCCCCGGCCCCGCACAGCCTCCTCTCGCGCCCCACCCCCAGACATCCCCTGCTGAGGCAGGGTGAACGGCCCCAAGGGGGGGCCTGAGATCCCCACCTTGGCCGACCCACCCCAGAAAGCAGCCGTCGGGTTATGTGTATTTGCTTTGCGTGATCCTCTCCCGGGGCTCCTGTCGCTCGGTAGGGGCCCCCGGCCAGACGCTCTCTGGGGCGGGCTGCACCCTCCTTCTGCTGGCTAACACCCCTCCTTTTCCAGCCTTCGCCGTCATGATCGTGCTGGCCCTGGTCCGCATCGGGCACGGGCAGGGGGAGGGGCACCCGCCCCTGGCCAACCTCTCGGGCGTGCGGAACCTGTTCGGGGTGTGCGTCTACTCCTTCATGTGCCAGCACTCGCTGCCGTCCCTCGTCACGCCCGTGTCCTCCAAGCGCCACCTGACGCGGCTCATCCTCATGGACTACGTGCTCATCCTGGCCTTCTACGGCCTCCTCTCCTTCACGGCCATCTTCTGCTTCCGCGGCGACAGCCTCCTGGACATGTACACCCTGAACTTCGCGCGCTGCGATGTGGTGAGCGTGGCCGCCGTGCGCTACTTCCTGGGCCTCTTCCCCGTCTTCACCATCAGCACCAACTTCCCCATCATCGCCGTGACCCTCCGCAACAACTGGAAGACGCTCTTCCACCGCGAGGGGGGCACGTACCCCTGGGTGGTGGACCGGGTGGTGTTCCCCACCATCACCCTGCTGCCCCCGGTGCTGGTGGCTTTCTGCACCCATGACCTGGAGTCCCTGGTGGGCATCACCGGGGCCTACGCGGGCACCGGCATCCAGTACGTCATCCCCGCCTTCCTGGTATACCTCTGCCGCAAGGACTCCCAGCTGGCCTTCGGCTACGGGGCGGTCAACAAGCACCGCTCCCCCTTCCGGCACACCTTCTGGGTGGGCTTCGTGCTGGTCTGGGCCTTCTCCTGCTTCTTCTTCGTCACCGCCAACATCGTCCTCAGCGAGAGCAAGGCCTGATGGCAGAGCCAAGATCTGCTACCTCCCAGCCTCTGGGAGGGGACCCTCTGCCTCACCAGCTGGGGGCTCCTCTCCCTGCGAAGGTCCTACTGCCCGGGGCTGCCCCCGGCCAGCTGGGCTATGCAGCCCAGGCCTGTGGCTGCTCCAGATTCCAGGACTTGGTACCTGAACCGCCCCCTCTGCTTTATATCCCCACACGGGCTCCGCCCTTACCAGGTGGAGACCCGGTCCTGGCACTGCCTCTATTTATACCCTCTCTCCCCTCTGTGCCCCCTCCAGACCCTCTGCGTCCCTGTCTGGGAAATCCCCCCTCAGAGCTGCTGTCTCCTCAGGGCAAACCCCAGCCCTAACCCTCCTCCCCACCAGCTGGCCTGTGGCCACAGGCCTACCTCCCGGTGTCACTTCTAGGTGAGGGTCTGGCCAGCCCCAAAGACGAGAACAGGAAATGCTAATTGGTACCAGAAACTCCCAGAGCCACGAGGGCCCTGGCTTGGGCACAGCTCCATCTGGCTCACGGGCCTACCCTGACTCAGGGGGCAGGCAGAACAGCAGCCCTGTGCTGGGTGTGCGACCTGGAGTTTCAGACCCTAAAGGTGATCCTGTGCTCTCTGCACTGCCCACCAGATCCTCAGGGCCTCCTGCAGTGCATGGGGCTGTGCAGGGGGCCCCAGAGGGAGCTGCCCTCATCTACTGCCACCGTGGCTTGGAAGGCCTGGGCATAGAGCAGCCGGCCCAGGGTGCTGCCCTGAGAGGTCAGGCCCGAGGCAGCAGCCGGGCTGTGGATGCTCGGTGTCCACACTCCCCAGTCCTGCGGGAGGCGTGGGGCGAGGTGGCGCCTCGGCCACCATTCCTGTGGTAGAGGCCGGGTCGCAGCCTGCCCGCCTGGGCCACACACACCCCCACCCCCAACAATCATGCATGCACCTGCAGCCGGCCTTCCCAGGGACGCAGGTGGTGGATGAACTGCATTTCAACGTGCCTTCTCCTGCTTCGGGACCCAGGGTCCTTCCTGACCCTCCCTGGCTTGGCCGGCCCTGGGCCTGTCCCCACCTGTCCTGGAGCCCAGCACAAGGGACCAGGACCTGCCTCTCCGGGGTGGGGTGTCAGCACCCTGCCCCTCCCTCTTGATCTCAGTGCCTTGCTCAGCCCTTGGCCGCCTCTTCCTGCCTCTCACCATCTTCATACTCTGGAGGGAGCGACGATGGCGGGGCCTCGGGTCCGACAGGAAGAGTAGTCCCCCGCCCCCCGCCAGCCTGTGGGACTCCCACAGCCTCATCAGCCACCATCTGCTCTCCCGCTTGCCCCTCGTCTGCAGTTCTCACCGCTGCCACGAGTCATTGTCCTCCATGTGAAAAATAGATGCCCCTTCCCACCTGCCATGTGGCTCCTTCCCAAGAGGCCCTGCTCCAAGGCGGGCAGCGGAGGAAAGAATCCACAGCAGTGGAGGCAGCCGAGAAAATGAAGACCTGGCCCGGCCCCCTGCGGCCGTGCCCGCCCTGGAGCTGCCCGGCTCTTTGCAGAAACTCAATTAAAACATCTGTACTTACCCTTCTCCAATTACATTCCCTCTCCCTTAAAGACAAAGCAAATTAAATCAACCTGCCGCCCCAGGCGCCAAACCAAATTTTGGACTCGAATTTATTAGCATCCTAAAGCCCAGGTTGATCTGTGTGACAATCTGGAGGCTCGCGGCGGTGGCCTCGGCGGTGCATGTGTCCCCTCCACCTCCCAGCTGGGCAGTCCCGGTCCTGGGGGGGACGCGGCCCGAGGCCACCGCATCACTGCTGGCAAGCGGGGCCTCTCCATGGCCACCGTCTGGTTCCTCTGCTCCCGCGTGCTCACCTGCGGACTCCCGCCAGAGGTCAAGTGGGGTCACCTTACTCTGCTGCTCACAGCCCGGGAGCCGGGGGCCAGGGGAAAGGACCCCAACCACAGAGGTGCCTCAGGCGCTGTGCACCCACCCTGTGGGTCTGGCCCATTCGGCAGGGGGTTACGTCAACCTGAGCCGTGGGCCAGGCAGATCGTGGTTTCTGCTTTACGGACCGGGAGGGCAGAAGAGGGTGCCAGCCCAGCCTGGTCACGTGAGGAGGAACATGACCTCGTGGCCTCCCCCTTCCCGCACTGCCCCAGCCTGGCGCTGGGGTTGGGCCAGGTCAAGGTGCCAGTCACATTCTGCCTCTTCCCTGCCCCAGCACTAGAGCCCCCGGGCCACTGTGCCAGCAGCTCCTGGCTGTTCCCCGGCCTGAGGCAGAGCGGCGGCCACAGGCTTGTGGATGGGCAGATGGCAGGTGACAGGCTGGGAGGCACTGCTGAGTGGTGGAAGGTGGGCCGTGGGCACCTTGCCAGACCCTTAGCCACACAGCTGTTCTCGCCACACGGGGTCAGGAGCAGGTTCGGCAACAGGCAGCAGCCTCCCCTTTCAAAGAGCAGGACGGATGGGGGAGGCTGCACAGCTTGGGAGGCAGGCCTGGGGCCCAGGTATCCTGACAGGACCCCTTCCAAGCCCCGCGCCCCTCCCCCGGCTCCTGGGGGGAAGGCGGTGTGTGGCCCCGGAGCCACGGAGCCACGCAGCTACTAACAGATGGGAGGACCCAGAGGGCAGTGGGGGGAGGGAAGAGAGTGAGCTAATGAGACTTTCTTCCTCCTGAGGTTGGGGACCGAGGACCCCACCAAAAGAAAGCACCCACATTTAGGGACCCTGCTCTGCCACACAGGCCGTGTTCGGGGCGATGGGGGGGGTGTGTCTCACTGCCCTGCCCGCCGGCTTTCTACCATCCCCAGTATCACGGGGCCTCTTGGCCTTCCCTCAGAGGGGTGAGGGATGCAGCGGCTCTGATGCTGCAGGAGGTCCTCCCTGCCCCCCACTCCCCCCTCCATCACTTCTCCCCAGGAGACATTCCTAGAGAAAGAGGGAGGCAGCCAAGAGCCTGGCCGGGGAGCAGGATGGGCCCCTCCTCGGAGCCAGCCAGCAGCCGGCTCAGCGCCACACTCGGCTTTTAATTATCTTTCCAGTTCTTGGTTATTAATGATCTTGGGCAGTGAGTGGAGAGCCGCCTGGGCCTCCAGACGCTCCTGGCCTCACCTGCTGTAGCCTTCACCCCGAGCGCCATGCAGCCCCTGACTGGGGAGCAGGTGGGCGGCCTGCGTGCCTGGCGCCGAACAGGTCACCGTCCCACCAGCAAAGGTGGCAGCCAAGGTCAAGCTCCCGCCTGCCCTCCCGCTCACCTGTTGAGCAGCTCCCCTCCCCGCCACCGGGCCTCCTGGCCTGGATCTGGGTCCATGACAACCCATGGTACTGAGGACGGGAAATTGACTGTCATGGACAGAGGCCGCCCGCTCTCGGGGTAGCCAGAATGACGAGTATTAGAATGGTCCCGCTCCTACCTCAGCTGTCTCGTGCCAAAACCAGACAGAAGAGCGCCAGTGTTCATGGCCTGCTCCCAGGAGTGGAGTCAGGGCACTGGAGAGGGGCCCTGGCACCCTGGGAGCCAGCAGGGAGCCATGTGGGGGACGCAGGCACTGGGCTGCCCGTGGCGTCGGCACCCAGCTCTCCCACCTGCCATGTCTGTCCCGCCTCAGCGCAGCTGGTGAAGGGCAGCAAGCTTGTACTCCACATGCTCAGCAGTGAGTCAAGGGTCTGAGGCACTGATGTCAGATTTGTGGGAGGAACAGAAGGGGTGCTGGCTGCAGAGACTCGTTGCCAGGTGCTGTCGTTGCATACACAGCGTTGAAAGTCATTAGTGAGGCCATCTTTGTAGGTGTCCTGGGGTGCCACAGGGCCCCAGCGGGAGGATGAAGGACTGAGATGGCAGCCAGGGTCTCTGACCTGGGCTGGCTACCTCCAAGGAGACCTGGCACCAGTCAGCCAGAGCCCTGCCCGACCACAGGCGGCCTCTCGGGCCTCCAGAGCCAGCAGGTAGTTCTGAGCCGTGGCCTCCCCAAGGCACACCTCCCCTGCCCTGGCCACCGGACACGGTCAGGCACCCGGGTGGGCCGCTGGTGGGGCAGGACACCCACAGCCCCGGGCAGGAGCCACTCTTCTCAAGGAGACTGAAGGATGAACCCCACCTTCATCCATCACCACCCGAGCCCCTGTGCTGGGCACATTTGTCACATCCGGCACCAGGGTGGGCAGGAGCTGGAGTGGAATACCGAGAGGCTTCTGCCGCCCGCAGCCCTCCCAGCCTCACCTCCCCGAAGCTGCCCCAGAGGGAGCTGCCCTCCTGCCTGGGGTGCTTCCCCTGATGACTCGTGGCTGTGCTGTGCCCCCTCTGGGGAAGCAGAATGAGAGCCAGGACCAGAGTTAGAAAAGGTCTGTTTAATGTCCCAGCTCTCTGAGAAGTTCCACCGGTGGAGCAAGGTGCAGCACAGGCCTGTCCTGCCAAGCACCAGGCTCTGTGCCCCCACACCAGGCCCTGCAGCCACGACCAAGGACTGGTGACCCTTGTGGGTGTGACCCCGCTGCTGCTCCTTCTGACTCCAGGCCAGGTGGGGAGGGTCCTGCATGAAAAGGGGACAGCAAGAGCCCAGCCTGCACCAGGACCCAGGCTGCCGAGGTCACCAACCATGGAAGATGTCACTTGTCACCGAAGCCCGACGGTCAGGACTTCACGGCAGAGGGTGCCAGGCGGAGAATCCAGCCATCCAGGAACCAGCGTGGCTGCCGCCTCACACTTCTGACTCCAAGCTGGAGATGCGCCTCCAGGTGCACGGCCCAGAGTAGCCGTGCACCCCACAGGCCCCCTGGCTGACGTCGTCCAGTCCCCCACTGTCCCTGTAGCCTGGGCTCAGCCCCAGGGTCCTGGCCCTGTGCCCTGGCGGTCCCCAGGCCCCAGGGAGCCAGGGGCCATGGCTGGCACAGGGTGGGGGGGGAGGGCAGACAGCGCCCCAGCAGAGCGGCAGGTGCGCGTGGAGGCAGGCGTGCTGTCTGTGCGGCCAGGCGGGTCCCGCCCACGCGTCCGGGCAGGCCTCCCGGCAGGACGGCAGCTGCATCGACTGCGCCTGCGCCAGCCGCCCGCAGGCCGGGCGCGAACACCTGGCGGGCAGCGAGCAGGGCCCGGCGAGGGCTTCGGCCACCGAGCTGGGGAGGGAGGCGTGGCGCGGCCGCAAGCCCCGAGCCCAGGCCGCGCGCAGCAGGGCCTCCCGCCGGGCCAGCTGCTCTGGCCCGAGCAGCGGCAGGTCGTCGGGCTCGGGGGGCTCGGGGAAGAGCGGCAGGAAGGGGCGCCCCGACCGGGCGGCTCGGGGAAAGGAGCTGTAGTGGCACCGCTCGGGCGATAGGGGGCGCTCCGGGAGCGCGCGCCGCTCTGAGGCCCAGGGGTGCTGCCCGCAGCACCCGGCCCGCGCCGACCACCGCGCCTCGCCCGGCCGGCCGGCCACCCAGGGCACGTCGGGCAGGGGCGGCCCGGGCGTCGGGGGGCGGCCCGGGAGCTGCGGGGCTTTGCGCCTCAGCACCGCGCGGCCCCCGCTTAGCGGCCCCCAGCGCTCGGGGCTCAAGTCGGGAGGCGGACAGGGGGTAGGTGGCCGCGGGCCAGGGCACGTGGGCGCTGGGGGCGCGCGGCGGCCGCTGCCCCAGCTCTCGATGGTGCGCGTGGCGCGGTCCAGGGAGCTGCTCACGCCCGCCGTGGTCACCATGTCACGCGCCGCCTGCAGCATCTTGAGCACGCTGGCCTGGGCGGAGCTGGCCGTGAGGTCGGGGCTGGGCGGCCTCTCGGGACTCGCCAGGCTCTGCACCCCGCCGAAGCAGCTGTAGATGCCCTGGGCGGTAGAGAGGAGACAGGCCGTGAGGCCAGATCAACCACTCCCGGGGCCGCCCCGCCCCACCAGCCCAGGCGTCCTGTGTCCTAGGAAGTAACTAACATGTGGCACATGTGGCGCACTGAGTGTGCCGCGCGCACTGAGTGTGCCTCCAGAGACCTTATCCCTGGATTCAAAACCAGGTCAGCGCTTCTCCTAGGTACCGCCCTGCCCTGGGAGAAAGGCCCTGGCCTCATCTGTGAGGTGGTGCTGTGCCGGCACCACCTCTTGGGGCCTCTGTTCCTATCTGTGAATGGGCCAGTTGCCAGTTTTGACTTATCTGCAGGGGTGCCCCTCCCGAAAGTTGAGGCCTGTCAGGGCTGGGCAGACACCCACCCTGCTGAAGGCCAGCAGCATGTCCAAGCGGGGCGTGTTGGGCACCGAGTGGCGCAGCTTCCAGTAGACCAGGTGCTCCCAGGCGAAGACGAGGAGGGCCAGCCCCATGGCCACGAGCAGCATGTAGAAGACGCCCGCCATGTTGTCGATATCCAGCTTGCTGCTCATCACCTCGTTCTTCTCGTTCTGGCAGATCCCCGAGAGCCACACCGTCTCCAGCTTCTGTGTCTCCCCTGGGAGGAGGGGGTAACCTGGCTCAAGAGGGAGGCCCCCATGCCTGGGTGGAGGAAGGTCTGGGGCCAAGGTGTCGGCCCCTGGTAGGACCCGTCACCGGGGCAGGGCTGGGTAGAGTGCACTGAGCAGGGAGAAAGCAGAATGAGGGCTGGGGTGGGTGTGGCAGGTTTGACAAGCCCCCCCCCCACCACCACACACACAAGCCCAGCAAAGGCTTGTTAATTAGGTACATTTGGTCATTCCTTTGTTCATCCAGCACTGACTGATCTCTGTGCCAGGTGCAGAGCTGGGCACACAGATAAAAGGCTCAGGGTGACCACAGCACTTCACTGTTAGCACTCACGGCTCCACATGGAGGGAAATTCGGTTCTTTATCTTATAGGGCTGGAACTCCAAGCACCAAGATTTCTCTGGGCTCAGCCTGCTCATCACACACACAAGCCCTGCAAAGCCTGGGCCCCAGCTCTGGCCCAGAGTCCCGGGCACCACCCCAGGTCACCTCCATACAGGAATGATGGAGGGAGGGGGCTTGGGGAGAACAGAAAGGCACTCAGCTACCCCCAGCCCCCACCGTGTGGCCTGAGGGCTTCCCATCAGCCCATCTCTCTCCGGGGTCTCCATCCAGTGCTCCCCACCCCACCTCACACCCCCCAGAGACCTATCCCTGCCCACAGACCCCCAGGACTGAGCATGGGGGAGGCTACCTACAGCCATCCCAACCTCTGACTTTGCGGCCCACCCAGATCTGCCAGCCCCTGCACCCACCGTCCCCCAGGAACTGCAGGAGGGCCAGGTCGATGGCCCGCTTCCAGTGGGAGTCCTTCTGCATGGCGATGCCATAGCCGGTGGTGGCAAAGACCTTGCCTGAGCCGATGGTGACCAGCTTGCAGCCCTCATCCTTGCCCGCCATGTAGTTGAGGACAGCGGCGTCGTAGATGAAGGCGTCCAGCTTCCTGGGGACAGGCTGAGCCCTCAGGCCAGGGACCATGTGGGGTGTGGGGACCAAACCAGGGGTTAGGGGGGCTGGGCCCTGAGCACAACCAGAGAGGTGGGCAGGCCAAGCTTCTCTGGTGCCCATGGGTCCTACAGACCCCTCCTGTAGCTCAGGGACCCCACCAGCCCTCATCCTCAGAGGCCAGGGAATACACCCTCTCTGCCCAGCCCCTCCAAGCCCCTCAGGCCCTAGTAAGGTCACGGCCAGCACCTCAACACCACAGCTGGTGTCTGGGCCACACGGTGGGCATCCATTTTTACTTCCAGCTCCACTCGGCCCTGAGACCCTCTCACCCCCATTCCAGAAGTCCTGGAGCCCAGCCTCGCTGTCCCCACCTCGGGCCTCTCGGGACAGGAGCAGTGAGGCTGGGGCCGGGGAGGCGCCAGTGAGCGGAGGCGGCAGGACTGAGCACCCACCCCATCTTGAGGCTGGTGAGCGCGTCCTCCACCGAGCGCTGGTTGAACTTGACCATGTGGGTGTGCATGTCGCGGTAGTTGCTGCGGATGTTGCGCTCGGTGCTGCCGTTGGGCACGGTGCCGAAGCGGAAGGGTGGGTACTGGTCTTGAGGTCGCTGAAACTGCAGGCCGGAAGCAGCGGTCATTCCGGACACTTCCTCTGACCTGCAGGCACCGCTACCCACCCACCCCGACCCAGCGCTGGGTCCGGACTTGCAGAGTAAGGCAGAATGGACTCGGGGACTAGACTGTCCAGGGCACCGTGTGATACAAAGAGGGAAACTGAGGCCAGGACGGGGAGAGACTGACCTGAGGCCACTCAATCAGTGGGTCTGAGCTGGCTCGTCCCCCCAAACCCATCTCCGCCAGGCTCCCCAGCTTCTCCCTGCTCCTGCCTGCAGTTCAAATTCCCAGCCGAGGCCTGCCCCCGCCCCCGACGCCCTCCACCCTCCGCTGTCCGAGGCCCCGGAACCTTCTTGTCACTGAGGCCGGACACGGTGTCGATGTACTGCTCCTGGATCATGAAGGCGGCCAGGTTGGCGGTGTAGCTGGCGAGGAAGATGACGGCGAAGAAGGCCCACACCAGCACCATGATCTTGCTGGTGGTCCCCCGGGGGTTCTCGATGGGCACGGAGTTGTTGAAGACCAGCGCCCAGAGCAGCCACACAGACTTGCCGATGGTGAACGATGGGCCCCCAGACTCTAGGGGTGAGAGGAGGACCTTGGGGCTCCTCTCGCCCAGCCCAGAGGGGCTCAGGTCTCAGCCCCCCTGTTTGCCCCCCGCTGAGACAGGACGATTCCGGGACCAGAGACTGAGGGCAGGACTCAAGGCCAGACGCTTGCTGTTCCCGTTGTTTGCATCGGGCTGGCACATAAGGGGTTAAATAGGCCTGCCTCCAGGCCCGGACCCGGGCCACCATGGACCTCCCGGGCCCGCAGTGCTCTTTTCACTGCTGCTCCCAGCCCGCGTTCCTGCGCTGCGTCTCCACAGACCCCGAGGCCAGACCGGGTCACCTGGAGCCGCGGGCACACAGCTCAGGGCATCATCCCCCCGAGCTGGTCTCCAGCCCCACACGACCCCTGAGCGGCCGCGGGTGGGCGCCGCGGCCTGCGACCAGAAATGGAGCCCGCAGAGGCGGGTGCTTCGGCCGCGTCCACGCCCCTCGCCTTCGCAGGCAGCGCCCACGCCGCGTCTCAGCCCCCCGGCCCCGGCCCCTCGGGAGCCTCTTTGCTGAAGGTCTCCCCGAAGCCCATTCCTCGCTCTGTTGCTTTTCGGTCACCAGCATCTCAAGGTCTTCATTCTACTCTTAGGCCCGACACACTCAGGGATGGGGGTTCTTGTGGGGATTCAGCCTGGACCAGGGCTTCTCCGCGCCCAGCAGGGGAAGGGGTGCCAGGGACTGGGCGAGACGCCCCCTCTCTGGGTACACCATGACCCCGCACCCCCTGCCCCTGGCTCTCCCCCCCAGGGCAAGACAGCTCGCCTGGTTTCTCCTGTGTGTGAAACACACACACACTCTCACACACTCACACACACACACACACACGCGTGCACACACGCAAGGCCCGAAGCCCCGCCCACCCCTCCCCCAGGGGTGACGCTCGCTTACTCTTGCCGCTCGTCAGGTTCTGGTTGTAACTGACGGGGCTGAAATACTCGAACATGAAGACGGTGACGGCCACCACGGTGAGGCACATGACGAACATCATCACCCACACGGCCGGGCTGTAGGGCTCTAAAACAGGGGGCGGCTCAGAGGCCTCGCGCTGCCCTGGCCCTCGCAGGCGGAGCCCCGGGCGCCGGCAGGTGGGCCCATGGGATCCAAGTCCCCCGGGGACGGAGCTGAGCTGAGAACAGCAGAGGCCCCCCCTGAAGGGAGGCCAGGCTCTCCAGCTCGCTGGGTCTCCCTGCGCCACCCTCCCTGGGACAGCCCCCCCGGATCTCATTCTCCCTCTTCCCCCCGTTTCCTCTCTGTACCCGCCCCAGGCAGCCTCTTCCCTCTCCTCTCCACCCACTGCAGCCCAGGGGCCTCCCAGACCTGCTGCGCTGCCCCCTGGGAGCTCACCCCTGTCCCCCCAGCTCCTCGCCTCCCCCCCAGAGCCGATCCTGCCACCCCGAGCCGCACCCAGGAAAGCGGAGGGGGAGACGGTGCCGTTGCTCCGCGCCACCATCACGCTGATGCCCGTCTCCACGAAGGGCACAGAGAAGTCCACGATCTCGGAGCGCTCCTCGTTGATGGTGAGGGAGCCGATGGCCATGTCCGCCCGCCGGTAGTACACCTGGGCGGGCCGGGCGCTGCAGCAGGCTGCCCCGCCGGAGCCCCTCCCGGCCTCCCGGCCCTCCCAGCAGCCGCCAGCCGAGTCAGGCTCTGGCTGGGTCCTCAGAGCTCCCCTTTCGGTACTGGGCACCCCACGGTGATGGCTGAAAACCACTCTCCCCGGCCGGCTGGGGGAGCCCAGGCGCTGGGTGTGCCCCATCCCGGGACACAGGAAACATCTGGGGGTGGCTGAGGGCTGCAAGGGGCCTGAGGCGTCAGGGGGTCCCGGCAAATCTCGGGGGCCAGCCTACCTCCCCGATCATGCCGTTCCACACGCCTCGCACCCGCTTCCCGTGCTTGCCGTTGGTCACCAGGTAGAGGTCATAGGAGAACTTGACCACCTTGGCCAGCTTCTTGAGGATGTCGATGCAGAAGCCCTTACAGCAAAGCTTGGTGTAGGGGGCTGCGTCCCCACTGCAGCCACCGGAGACCACCGGCGTCAGAGCCTGCCCCAGCCTGGCTGCGGACCCCACCCAGACCCAAGCAGGCGGCCCGGAGCACCTGCCGCCCCCCGGCAGCCGGTGCTCACACCCCGCGCGTTGGCGCGGGCACCGACCTGAAGGTGTGGTTGCTCTGCCTGCGGCAGGGCACGGTGTTGGGCACGCAGCCGCCCGTGCCGGGATCGGGGCTCTCCACGATGACGAAGGGCCTCTCCTCAAGCGTGGCCACCGTCAGGTGCCGGCTGTCCACCACGGGCTGCAGGGAGGCGCTGTAGCGAGGCCACACCGGGTACTTCATGTGGAGCACGCCGTGGTCCCAGCGCCCCACCTGCAGGGGGCAGCCAGCCTCAGTCCCCAACTTCAGCTCTAGCACCCACACCCTAGGTGGGGCCCCGGGTGCCACCTGCCAGGGCCACGTCCCTGTCCCTGGCTTAGGCCAGGACAGCAGGGCCAGGAGCAGGAGCATTTGGAGGGCAGGGGAGTGGGGCAAGGACCCAGGCCTGGGCCAGGAAGGGGGGATCCCTGCAGCCTCCTCCCAGCCTCTGTGCTTTCCAGTCCAGCCTCCTCTGCTGTCGACCCACAGCCTCTCTCCGAAGCCCAGACCTGAGCCTGTTTCACCCTCGTTCCTCCCACTTTTATAAAGTATGAAGTCCTCAGCCCAACACTTGAGGCCCTTCACACTCAAGTCCAACTCACCTCCACCACCCCGCCCTTCTTCCTCAGTCCCCACACCCCCAAATATATCACCTTAAAAGGCACCAACCTCCCTGCCCCTACCCTTAGAAACAGGTTAATAGCCCGTCCCGGTGGGCTCCTACTCAACCCTCCACAGCCCAACCCAAATGCTCAACTTCTGCGAAGCCTTCCCCGGCTTCCCCCTTTGGAGCCCGAGCTAGCTCCTGCTCCCCCTCTCCTGTGAGGCACACACTCCGCTCGAGCGGCAGTCTCCTCGAGTTCTGTTTGCTGACATGGCCATCTGGCCGGCACAGCTAGAGCTCCTCCCCAGGCACACGGCTAGGTGATAAGGACCTGGGTACGTTCTGTGGCTGGGGAGGTTGGAGTGTTTGGAGCCCAAAGCAAGGGACCTCACCGCTCCCCACCCCTGGGGGCCCCGGAAGGCTTCCCAGCAGATGAGATGTTTCAGGGACGCCCAAAGGTGGGGCTGGGTCAGGGACAGCCCTGGGCGCACGTGAGACTGGGGACAAAATGAGAGGAAACCATGGCCCCGGGCTCACCCACTTCTCACCATCTCCCAGAGGCGGTGCCGGTTGAGGGCGATCACCACCATGGTGGGCTGGACCAGGTACCCGCCGGGACTGAAGGAGAAGTCTCGGCCCTCCCAGGTGATGTTCAGTAGGTGTCTGCAAGGGGGGAAGAAGCCGAGGGGTCCCCTTAGCCCTGCCTTCGGCCCTGCCCAGGACCAGTCACCCCCTTCCAGCTGCTGTGTCACCACTGTGGACAGCCGGCAGCAGTGTGGGCTTCGGACAAACTGTGTCCTGTGCCCCTGGATTGACACCCCCATCTTCACCACACCCCTTTTCTTTCAGATACGGCCCAGAAAGGTGAGGTAGCCTGGCCCCAGACACACAGATCATGGCGTCCACGCTCACTATCACCCAAGCATCCTAAAGCAGCCCCCTGTTCCCCTGCCCTGGGAGGGGACCCACCTGTAGAAGGCCTCCCGGGAAGGGGTGACGGGCCCAGGGTGGCTGCGGCAGTCCCCAGCCGGGCTGGGTAAGGTGCCGTGCTGGCGCAGGTAGCCGTGGGCGCCCAGGGCCAGGATGGCCACGCCGTCTCGGACCTTCTGGCGCAGGCTGAGGCGCCAGCTCTCGGTGACAACGCTGATGAGGCCCACGGGGAAGGCAGCGGGGGGCGCGTCGGTGCTGCCCAGCGCCAGGTTGGGCACCAGCCACACGTGCCCGGGCCCACCAGGCCGGCCTGCGCCGCCTCGGCGAAAAGCACCTCGGCCTCCTCGCGCGAGCAGTAGGCCACCAGCACCGGCGCGTCGACCTGGCGGAGCAGGCGCTGGGTGCGCGCGCGGGGCCCGCCGGGGCCCAGCTCCAGCGTGAGCACGTCCAGCAGCCGCCAGCCCAGGTAGCTGGCGTCGGCGACGGCGCGCACGCCCTCGAGGAAGAGCGCGTGGCCGGGGTGCAGGCTGGTGATGACGGCGAAGGCGCTCCAGGCGTACTCCTCCAGCACCTTGAACAGCACCTGCAGCTGCTGCTCCAGCGACACCCCCAGCTGCAGGAAGGCGGAGCCCGGGTCCTGGGGGCGGGGCGGGGCGGGCCTGAGCGGGGCGGGGCGGGGGGCGCCCCCGGCCCCCCGCCGCTGCTCCCAGGAGCGGGCGCTCACCCCACCCCGCGCCCGGGCGGCGGGTGCTGCGCCCCGGAAGGCCGCGCCCCTCTCCGCTCCCCGCAGGCCCCGGACGTGGTTCCGAAGCCCTAGAATCTCTTGGAGGGTTTTTAAGAATCCTCTTGCCGGGTCCCCACCCGGTCCCACCGTGCAGGGCCGCAGACCAGCTGCCCGCGTCGCCCGGGCACTTGGCACGTACAGATTCGCGCGCCCCCCGCGCCCAGGGCTCTGTATTTTAAGAAGCTCGGCGCGTGACTCTTGAGCCCGCTGCTTTGGAAGCGCTGCCCCAGGCCAGCTGCATCGGGGTCTCAGAGGGGGAGCGCCGGGCGCCTGTGTTTTTTGTGGGGCTGAGGAGCCCCGTCTGAGAGCGGCAGTCGGTGGCTGGGAACGCGCCGCCCTCCGCGGAGCGGCCCCGGCATGGAAAGCCCCTCCGCGGCCGCCACAGATGCCCAGGGCACCGCCAGCTCAGCCTGGGGTGTCGCCATCTCCTCGGGAATGGGGTCTCCCGGCTGCCACTCGCACCCTGTCCCCACCCCAGCCCCCACCAAGATTCCCCTGGCCTCGCCTTTCAACAAGGCAAACCAGGGAAACTCCAGGACTGGTCACCGGCCCCTTCACGAAATCGCAAGAAAAGAGAGAGCGAGCTGGAGGGAGGCGCCTAGAGGGACAGGCTCGGAGCTCTGGCTGCCAAGCAGCGGCATGTGGGGACCTCATTTGGCAACTGAGTCAAGCAGAGAAACTAAAAAATAAAAATGTGTGACTTTCATGAGACAAAAGGGAGCGTTTGAGTCCTGGCTGGAGAGCGGGTGAGGTTAAGGAATTTTTATTCAGTTTCAGATGCGATGATGCATGGCTGTCTTTTCAGGCCCTGTCTGCTGGCCACGGGCCTGAAATACCTGCGGGTGGAATGACACAGAAGCGGGAGGAGCAGGCGGGGCCAGGACGGGAAGGCGCCATCCCCGAGTGGACAGAGGCGTGCGGGGTCACTAAACGCTTTCACGTGCGAACCCTCCTCACAGACAATAGCCACGAGAGGAAGGCAAAGCAGCCCAGGTCACGTGTCCCCTCAGCACGCACTTAGGGGGAAACTGAGGGGCTTCCCTGGCTCGGAACCCCACCTTCCTCTCCAGGCTTCTGTTTCTCAGAAACTCCAAGGCCTCCCCACTCCAGCAGTCCCACCGACTCCCTCTGCCCGGACTGCTCTCCTGTGGGTCTCCCTGACCCACCCGCTACTCAAATAAGGGTCCCCTTAGACTCCCTGGTGGCTTCTGGGGTTTTCCTTCAGAGCACTTTCCAGAGCAGCTGTGAGTGGGGGTGCATCTCCCCACGGGACTGCAAGCTCCAGGAGAGCCCGTCTTCCCTGCCCGGCCAGGGACCGCCTGCCGCTCTGCTCTCCCCAGCAGGCCCCGCCTGGCCCCACCTGCTCCAGCCCGCCTGCTCCAGCCCCGCCTGCTCCGCGTGGGGTCCGGCCATGGAGGGCCGGAAGCAGAGAGGCCAGCCAGGGCTCCCTCCCCTCATCCAGACACGAGGTGAAAGCAGCCTGAAAAGTTGATCTCCGAGCCCGGAGCATATTCCCACAGCCCTATCCTTCCTCGCCCACATCCCCCTCGGCCCCCACCTCCTCGTGGGTCCCCCCTACTCCCAGTTTCCCAGGACCTGAGTCTCTCCCAGCCCCACCCAGAACTCAGGCCCACACCCTGCCCCCCTCTGCCTCCGGACCCGGGGGAGGGCAGGGCCTGAGTTCGGACAAGCACCTTGGGGGTGAGGACCACCGCAGAGCCCCCACTGATGCTGAGGATGGGCGCGTGCGTCTGGGAAGAGATGAAGTCAAGGATCTGGGCCACAGCCTCGGTGCCCACGTTGTCCTCAAACACGATGCCGTGGACGCGGGCCGCACCCAGGAGCCCGCAGATCTGGGTGAGGAGGCTGCTGGGGTTGGTGTTGTTGACCCCCACGGTGAGCGGCTGGATCTCCAGCGGCAGGTCCAGGAAGCTCTGGGGGGTGAGCCGGGTGCGGGCCTGGGCCTGCGGCGGCCCCGAGCTGCCAAACACCACGGCCACGGTCACCGCCTGCTCGCCCTGCCCCGGGCCCGGCCCAGCCCAGGCCCCAAGGAGTGAGGTCAGCAGCAGGGCCGGCCCCAGGGCCCCCCCCATGTCCACGCAGGGTCCTGTGGAGAGACCAGGACAGGCACGGGGAGGGGGCAGGGGCACGGGGAGAAAGGTGGACGGGTGGGAGGTGGAGGCTGGGGTCGGGGGGGACGCACGTCCAGAGGATGAAAGAAAAGAGGGGAACCTCCCTCCACGGAGAGAGGTGGACGGGGGGAGACAGACAGACAGAGACAGAGAGGAAGAGCCGTTAGCTGAGGACCCCACGGGCAGCTGGAGGGGCGGGGCCCGGAAGGGCAGGAGCCAGGGGAGCTGCCCAGTACCCAGTACCCACTCTGCCGCGCAGCCCAGAGAGTCCAGCCCCCTGGAAACGCATCCCCCCGGCATCCCCAGGCAGCCGCGCCCATGGCGCCGGTCTGGGGTCCGAGGGTGCTGCCTGGAGCAGGACAGGGCCGAGTTCCGAGTTCCAAGCCCCGGCCCTGCCGCTTACCCGCAGTGCGGCTGGGGAAGCTCAGCCTGTGATCACCCCGGGACCCACCTCACAGCACAGCGGGGCTGCCGGGTCCTCGGCACCTTTCCCACAGGTGACGGGCCCTCAGCAGGCGTGGGGGGAAGCCAGCAGTATCTCCCCACGCCACACACACACAGGAGCTCTCCATCCTGCACTACCTCTCCTGTCCCAAGTGCCCCACCCAGCAGGGCCCCGCCTGGCAGAGCCCCTCCTCCTGGACATTGGGCCTCCCTCCCTCCCCCGACTGCAAGGCAGATTTTCCACAGTGGGAGTGAGGCACCATCGACTTGCACAGGATGGGGGGGGGGTCACCTGGACCCCATGGTGTCTCACGCACGAGCTGATGTGCAGGATCTTTTTAACCCAAGGGCCTGGTGCTCATCCCTGCAAAACGTCACCACTTTGGATGCGACCCAGCAGCCAAGCGGACGAGGGTGATTGCATCCCCAGTAGTGGCTCCCTCCCCTCTGGCCACCCTCTCCGTCTTCATCATGTCCCCACCCAATCTTCTCAACAGGGAGAGCTGAAGGGTGGCCAGGGCAGGCCTGCACCCCCATCCCCCACCTGCCTCCAGGCTTTGCACATCTTGGCTAGAGAAACGCAGACAAAACCCAAGGAGTTGCCAACACTCCTGTCTCAGATATCTTGGACCCCCTGCCTGGCCCCCCAACACCCCAAAACATATGTGAAAGGCAGACGCCCTGCAGGGCTGGGCCTAAGAAGACGGCGAGGCGGGTCCCGCTCTAGCAAAGGGCCTCCCCTGTGCCTGCCGCCCAGCGGCTCTCTTCCTTTTATCCAAAGCCTAATTTCTTGCATATCCACAGGTCCAGGGGGCTCGTGGGGTCTCCAGTTCTCCCCCAGGAAGCCAGGGGGCAGGGAAACGCAAGTGGTCACCAGGCGACATTCAGGAAACCCCCTCCTTTTATTGGGGTTGCTAAAAAGGACACCCCCAAAAGGGCTCCCTAAAGAGACTCTTTCGTCCAGGGGTAGGACTGGACAGGTGCATGTTGCCCACCCTCTGGACGAGGTGCCGGGTGCCCGATGTCAGTGTGGGCACCACGGTCCCTGCCCTCCGGGGACTCGGGGTCGGGCTTGCAGAGAAGGCAGGCGCCGCCAGCACCTCCCACCTGGTGCTAGTTTTTTCTAAACGTATTTCTTCTACGTCCAGAGCTCCTACTCCCCTCAAGTTCCCGGGCTGCCCCCATGAGATCCTCTCTTAGCCAAGGATCTACAGCTCCTTCACAGGAAGGCGCAGGGCCTGAGAAGAGCTTCAAGTGGGATTATTCCCAAGAGAGATGCAGAACCCGAGTTGAACCCGAGTCAAAGCCAGAAGCTACGGAGCCGAGCATTGGAATTTCAGACCAAGACAGGATTTGGGCAGGGGAGGGAATTCCGTGCTGCTTATCCCCACGCCCTAGAACTGCCCCCCTCATATGGTTTCCTAGTCCACTGCCCCAGAAGGCCAGCCAGGGACACGTGTGGACCCGGGAAGAGAACCTACCCCAGGCCGGGCCAGGCCGCGCCGCGCCTCCCACCAGGCGCAGATTTCAAATCCTACTGCAAAGGGCGCTGTGGGGCGGGAGCCTCCCTTTGCAAGGCTTGTCAACACCCCGGTCCTCTTGGTTCCCTGGCCGCCCCCAGCCGCCCCCCAGCCTGAGCTGCAGATCTGCGCTCCCCAGTTCGCAGCCACCCGTCACAAGGAACTACGGGCACCTGCGGCGGAAGACGCGCCGGCGGTGTGCAAAGAACACAGAGTATCTCAGTCCTATTCCTTACACTGGTTCCCCGTTGACATAACCACATACTAGATACGCCGAGTGAAGCAAACGAATTGCACCTCTGCCTTGGCACTTTTTCTCACCGGCCACCAGGAAATGCTAACGGACCCGCGTGGCTCTTATTTTGTTCCTTCGGGCAACAGGCGTGATCACAGCACCTGGCAGGTCTCCAAGCTCAAGTAGTGAGCAGGTGCCAGGAGATTCAGACTCAGAGACCTCAGGACGAGGGACCTGCGGGGGCCTGTCCCTGTTCACTGTCCCTTCCCCACCTACCACCCACCCTGTCCACCCACCTGCCCCACCGGCCTGAACTGCAGACTCTCTGCAGCGGCCGTGCTGGCCGCTCCCCAGTGCCCACAATGAAGCCCACACAACTTGGTCCCATGCCCAGGGGGCGACACTCCCTGACCCCAACCAACTGTCCTCTCCTCCCTGTACCCCATGCGCCTGCCAGTCTGGTGGCCAGATGCTGTTCTCTCGTGGCCTCTGCTCTGCGGTTGCCTCGGGCTGGAATGCGCTGTTCTCCCTATCTGGTCTACCAGATAAATTCCAGAATTTTCAGAGCCCAGGCCAAATCCTCCCCCACCTGTCCCTGTCCAGGACACCTGCCTGGACATCCAGGCTCTGGACACACAGGGTGAGAAAAGAAAGGGTCTCAGTCTGATCCCCATTCCCTCGCTACCTCTCCCGGTTTGGGGGCTCTAGCTATGCCCTTGCCATAGTTTGCCTCATTGTGCCCCCCTGAATTTGCCCACTAAGAGTCCTGCGACCGCTCACTCAAGGTCTCTGGCCTTCCACATACAGGCTGTTAAATTAATGTTCGATGGGCACCCCAGAAGTGGGGTGGGCAGTGGTCAGTCCCCCCAGACACTCAGCATCACCCTGAATGGTCCGAGCACCTCCATGTGCTTAAGGCTCTCTCTTCCTCTGGGCTCCCCCAATCTTAGCAGTGGCTCCCCAGCCCACTGGCCGCGGCACTCACACCCCAGACACCTCTGGCCCCTCTCCCAGGTCCAGATCCCCTTCCCAGGAGTCGCCCAGCCCCAGAGGGGTCCGCTGCTGGTGCTGGGCATCCGCCCTGCGGAGGACAGGCCTCTGCGCTGCCGTCGGGTTTCCCTCCCTTGCGGTCGCGGAGCCAGCGCTCCAGCCCGGCGCGGGGAGAAGGCCCCCGGCCGCCCCTCCATCCTGCCCCCGCGGGTGCCGGACTGAATTCTCTCCCCAAGACTCAGTCCCCCAAGCCTCGGCGTTTCGACCCGCCCCCCCCCGCCCCCCGGGGGCGCCCCGCCCCCTCCCCTCCGCAGGAATCTCTTACACTCGGGCTGTGAAGTTCGGGGTATTTTTAGGCCGGCGATAAATAATTCATAGGGAACGTGGCATCAGGCTCCCCCCGCGGGAGGAGGGGGCGCGAGCGGCGAGAGCCACGTCACCCGCGCTCAAGGACACTCGCGATGCGGCGGCGGCGCGGGGACTCCGGCGGGGACCCACGCCACGCCTCCTGGCGGCCAAACTGGGCACCACGCGCTGCGAGACCCCGCGCCGCGGTCCTGAGACTGCACCCCCCAAAGCCCCACGCTGGGTCGCTCCCCTAAACCTCGCAGCATGAGGGGGTGCAGCTCTCCTGGCAGGCGGGTCTGGGGGCGGGTACCAGATCAGGCCTGCTCAGGGCCTGGAGCATCATCCCTGGAGACCGGGCTCGGGTCTGTGTCCCCTCCGGTTCCTACTGAAATCCTGAGTACCCCGAGTTTAGGACCCGATACCAGAGGGTGCGTCTAGAAACCAGACGCGCTCCGGGATGGAGTAGGTGGGCCCCAAGTTAGTTCCTTTCTTTGATGTCCTGAGTGTGGCCCCAGATGGGGGAGCGAGCTGGGAGGAAGCCACAGTCAGCCTTGCGGGGTGGCCGGGGTGAGCCTGGTGAGCAAGCAGGGCGGCCCCAAGGGCTGAGCATCAGGGCCCAGCACAACGAGCTCCCACTTGCTCACCCAGCAGGGCCTCTGGACGGGTGCTGGGGTGCCCTTGGGGGTTTCTGGCTGCTAACTGCCCTCTCGCCCCCTGCGCCCCTGTCCAGGCTCCTGCGCCTTCCGCAGCAGGTGGCTCCGGGCTCCGTCCTCACTGCCGACGGCGATTCTGGTCCAAGCCCAGGGCGGCCAGAAGAACCTGCTGGTGCTGCAGCAGCGCCCAGCACCCCCGGCTCGCGCTCTCCGGGACCCTTCGCCCACCCTCCCCGGGCGTCCTCAGGGTCTGTCCACCAGGCAAGGGGCAGCGTGTGGGAAGACCCCCCCCCCCGCACAGGCCCACACTGATCCCCCAGGCCAGCCCATGCGTGACGCCGAGGCCGGAGGGGAAGGGAGGACTTGGGGCCGCGCAGCCCGTGGAAGGACAGGGCGCGAGGGAGGCTGCGGCCAGCGGGCGCTCAGCAGACCCCGGGAGCCAGGCGGGCGGCTCTGGAGCCACGGCCGGCCCCTCCCGTCCTCTTTGCCCGGTGCCCTCTGCGGCCCCTTCCTTCTGGCCAGCCGCGACCCCGGCTCTGCTGGGCCGGCTCCCCGCCGGAGGCGCCCCGCAGCAACAGTTGGGGGGTCTGCGGGCCCGGACAGCCGCGTCCCCGCCGCCCCTCCCCCGCGGGCCGGGCGCCAGGCAGGGCGCGCGCGGGCTCGGCGACCCCGGAGAGAACATCTTGGGCGCCCGGCCGCGTCCTTCCCTCGCGTCCGCCGCGCGCCCGTGCCCGGCCTCTCCGGCGCGCTCTTGCCCGCCCGCCCGCCCGCGCCCAGCCCCGAGGCCGAGCTCCGGGGGCCGG